GGTGGGCCTGAGGGAACGGCATGGAGCTGCAGGAGAGGGCAGCTGGGGGTGAGGGAAAGGATCTGCACCACAGGTGGTGGGCATGGAATGGCTGCCCAGGGCAGTGGGTGCAGCTCTGAGCTGCTGGAGCTCAAGGAGCGTTTGGACACTGCTCTCAGACACAGGGTTTGGGTTTTGGGGGTGCTGTATGGAGCCAGCAGTTGGACTTGATGATCCTCATGGGTCCCTTCCAATCCAGGACATCCTATGACTCCTGAGTGACTCTATTTCTCCCGCACCAGATCACTACACTGATTCTAAGCACGATGAAGCCAAGCCAAAAGATGTGTGTGTTTTCTCAATTTTGATAAAATAAAAAAGCATTTCTCTAGAGAAGCTCACAGGAGGCCTTTTTTCTTTTTATGGCTCGAGTCCTGGCACTGATCAACTCCAATGATTTTAGGAGTAAAAGCAGTTTTAAAAATAAGCAGGGGATGGCAGTAGAGACCTGTGTAACACAGAAAGCAAGAGCAGGCCTTTTGGCGAGGCTAAACAAGCAAACAGAAATAGAAATATTTGAACTTGTGGCATTTTTCCAGGACTATAACAGTAATGATTGCCTGACCCGAACCCCCACAGCACTCTGTGATCATGCTCCGCGTAACTCCATTTTGCATTCTGTAACTTCATGTTTCTCTTAATAAATAACTAAAGGAATGCATCTTTAAATCACCATAAATGGACACAATTGCCCAGGTTTCATGGATGAGTGTGTCTGGGAAGTTTTACTCCTTGTCGATCATCAATATTAACTTTGTAAGTGCGTATTTTAAGTCACTTAGTGGAATGCATGAACTAGTTTTAGCCTCAGAATTACTTCTGAAAGGCTCGTGTGGGATTTTTGTGTGCATGTGCAAATGCATACTTTATTGGTTTGTCCAATTCTTCAGTTCTATGGCATGGATTTATTTCTGCTTTTGATTGACTGAAGGCATTTCCAGGCAGTTGTGTGCTCTGCCATTACTCATTCTAGGACCAGAAATATAGGAGTATTTAAAGGACTCTGTTTCATGGAACATTCTTGAAAATAATAATAATAAACATTATAAATGCCACTGAAATAACAGCAGGTATAATAGTGACTATTTTTCTGAACTAAGACTTACATTCTCTGTTGCTTTCTTGCAGTTATTAGCCTTCAAGACAACATGCTGTTGATTTAAATTTACTTAAAAGCATTTATTTAGAATACTGGCATAAAATTTTTTCATATATATGTTTGTGCATATATATATATATATGTTTATATTTTTTTTCCTAGAATAGTTAAAAATGGAAATGGAGACTAGAACATAGCAGCGTAATTAACTCATAAGCTTCTTGGAAAACTATGCTCTGTTTCCAGTGATTTCAGGAAATAACCAGAACCAGGAAGAGCAGCTACGAGCAAGCAGAGGTGGTGGGTGTTGGAGCCTGGTGCCAGGGAACACACTCAAGAAAGGCCTCTGGGGATGCAGCATTTTGTAGTCCTCTGGGGGAACGGCTCCACAGAGTTTTGGAGACCAAAAGTGAAATGACAGTTTTTGTTGAGATTTCCACGCTCATCATCATGATGGGTGAGGGGTTCTCTTGTTTGCTTTTCTTAATGTGGATGTATTGTAACTCACATACAGGCCCGTGACGAGGAACAGGATACTTACTGTAACTCTTACGGGTCACAACCACTGGTCTAAAATATTTTCAGACACATTTTCTTCTACTCATCCACAGTCATCCAAATTCTTACTCTGAAATATTGCATCTGCATTTAATTTGTGAGTCATAAATCCAGCAGGTGTGGATTTCATACATAGATTTCATGCAGCATACATGGAAAGGGACTAAACCGTATTAGGCACCCTGTCTGCAGTGCCCTGATTTTTTCAGTTGTTAAAAAATCGAATTATAAAGGATAAAAAGGTGGCAGCCACATTTGGAACATTTGATTCTAGACTTTTGCATTTAAGGAGAATATTTATTGGCAGCTAAACATAACTCCTGTGTGGAAAGAACAAGACTTTAAAAACATCTTCTGATTTTTTGCAAAGAGAAGCAAATACAAAGAATTGAAAAGGGAAAGTGTTTTATCTCCCAGGTAATTAAAGCTTTTGCTGCAATGTGTTAAGAATTTTGAATACCTAGATAAATTACATAACTATTTAAATGTTCACAGAATCACAGAATTGCAGGGGTTGGAAGGGACCCCAAGAGATCATCGAGTCCAACTCCCTGCTAAAGCAGGCACCCTACAATAGGTTGCACAGGTTGGTGTTCAGAAGGGTGTTGAATATCTGCATAGAAGGAGACTCCACAACCCCTCTGGGCAGCCTGTTCCAGTGCTCCATCACCATTATTTAAAGAAATACTTCTGCAGGTTTCTATGGAGCTTCCCATGCTCAAGTTTTAGGCCATTGCTTCTTGCCCACATCGCTGAGAAGAGCCTGGCCTCATGTATTTGTCTCCCAACTCCTTTTAGATATTTATGAACACTAATCAGGTCCTCCCTCAATTGTCTTTTCCCCAGGCTGAACAGGTCCAGGTTACTCTGCCTTTCCTCATACAGGAGAAGCTGCAGGTCCTCAATCATCTTTGTGGCTCCCTGCTAGAATCCTTCTAGGAGATCCCTGTCTTTTGTGAACTGGTGAGCCCAGAACTGGACACAGTAGCCTAAATGTGGCCTCACCAGGGCAGAGTAGAGGGGGAATCACCTTCCTCGACCTGCTGGCCATGCTCTTTTAATGTACCCCAGGAGCCCCTTGGTCTTCTTGGCCACAAGTGCACACTGCTGCCTCATTGCCAACCTGTTGTCCACCAGGACACTCATCCTTGTCTACAGAGCTTCTCTCCCACAGGTCATCCCTTAATCTGTACTCCTCCCCAGGTGCAAGATTTTACGCTTGCTCTAGTTCATTCTCATCAGATTCCTCCCTGCCCAACTCTCCACTCTGTCCAGGTCTTGCTGAACAGTAGCACATGATGCTTACATACAAACCTATGATGTAAAACACTTTTTCATGTCTTTCTTTTACTGTTAAAGATAATTGCTAAACTCTTAGTTCACCCATTATTCATGTTTATGCATCACTTTGATGTACACACTGAGTATGTAAATAAAATAAATGTAGAAGTATATAGATTCCCCATCTTCAGTCAAGATCTTCATTTGTTGGCTACCTTCCCAGAAACTGTGACATTATACAAGATTGTAAACCCAGGAATTACTTGATGAATTCTCAAGACAAAAACCAATCCATTTCAAAGGTTTTTTCTTGATGACTTGAGTGATTAATTCAGCAAATGAGGAATGGCCCTCATGTGAGAATCAGTTCTATGTTTATATCAGCTTTATTCTAGAGATGCACTTTAAAAAGTTTCAACAATGTTGTTGTCCTTTTCTGACACATGAACATGAAACATGGCTATTAAAGAGAAACCAGTTCCTCCCACAAGAGGAAACCTGAGCAAAATGAAGTGTCTATGCTTCACACACTCTCTGGACACTCTCTTGGATCATGTTCATCTATATTAGCGACCATAGAGGAAGAGAAAAAAATGCCCCCAAAAGACAGATGGGGGACAGCATTAGCTTCAGTCAGCAGGATGCATCATTGCAGCCACACCTTTGCCATGGAACTCAGCAGAAAAGGCAGCCTCATCTCCAACTTCTCTGTGCAAATCCGTTGAAGTGAGGTTTTCAGAAAGTGTCTCAAAAATGCTTAAACAAAATAGACCACAGGACTTGAAGTTCTAGAAATAGAAAGGTCACCATGGTGGCAACATCTGCTTTCTATTTTTTCATTTTCGTTACATGTTACATATTTGCATTCACGTGCACGCACACACCCCAGAACTACTCAGACTTTCAATTCACATGCCTTGTATTGCTTAAATATTTTCTTCTGATATGCTTTTCATTAAGAAGAGCAGCTTGGTGCACAAGGCACAGAATAGACCATCCCCAACTGTTTGCAAAACAGAGCAGAGTACAAATACGAGGCCATGCAAGAGAGCAAGAAATGCTTTGATGCCAACCCACCTACCCAGCACTCAGGGAGATGAGCTGGGAGCTGGCGTTGGGTTACATTTTGTATCAGTCTCCATGCAAACAACAGCCACCAGTTGCTTCCTGCAAGTTTCTTTCTTGGAGGAATGCTGTAGACAACAGCTTGGATGAGGCATTACAGAGAATTTATACAGAATTAGGTCCTGCTGCCCTGACTTGGGCCAGAAGTGTGATTCATTAATATGATGCTGATGTGCAGAGTCATGGTGTTTCCAGAAACCATTCAGATACTTCAGTTGAGTGGCACTTGGCCAGGCACTCAGGCTTAAATGTGATCTGTACGACCTTGAGCTGATTTTCTCTCAGAAAATAAATTTTACCCTGTGCTCTTTGCAGCGGCTTCTGCTTTGGAAAAGTCTGACTAAATACATTCATCAGGTCTAATGAGCCATTTGTGTCACCGTCACTGCCGGCAGAGCTGAAAGGTTAAACTTCCCTTAGAGCTTCTCATCCCCTAACATTTACCCCAAAAGGTTTGCAGAACAGCTTTCTGACAGTTCTCACAATTTAAATAGCAGAATGTAGGAAGCACAGGAGAAAACAATTTGAAGTGAATTCAGTGTTCTTCTTGCAGCAGTACTCAACAGCCCTTCCCTTTTCAATTAGTATTTCTAATATTCCCTTTTCAATTTGCCTTTTACAGAAAAACAAGCAGTGCATGCTCCACACTGAGACATAATTATCAAAACCCTCATCTTTTTCAGCATCCCATTTTCTTGTTGTATTTAGAGCAACAACACATTTCAGTCACTAAAGAGCAAGGTTCTCCTTTGCACCAATTCCAAAAACTTGCTCTACATCTGGGTAATGGTTTTAAAGGTCGTCTCACTTCCACAGCAAACATACGTACGTCTGGGGATTAAATGCTGCAGCCACTCAGAGTTTTTCGGCAATTTTTCAGGGTTCAAAACTGCATAGGTCATCATTTTATCATTTATTTCTCAAAATACCCTTAAAATTGATTAATGAGCTCACATACTATGTACATATATTTTAAAGACAGGTAAAGTCATGCATACCAAAGCCAACTAACAGTAAATCAATATTTACAGTGTAAATACTTCTGTCTAGTTTTCAGCCTCTGATTGAATCATTTCCTTCATGCTACCCTGCATGGGATTTATATACTTCTGTGCTGAAGTTTCATGATATTAAGGCTTCCAAGGCTCTTTTGTTTTTTTTTTTATTGTAATGATAGGCAGAAGTTTTTCACTGTTGTTTTCCAACAACCATGACAGCTTGGTCACTCTCACACAGGCAGTCCTGTTGTCATTTGCACTACCTTCATGCTTCTGTAATTCTGCAGGCACATCCTGCTGAGCTGTGGTCAGCATGGGGGAAAGTCCTGTGCTACGGTCAGAAAGAACAACAAAAAAACTCCCAAAGGGATCATTTCAAGCAGTGGTCATGAGGCTGACCCCCAGCAAATGACCGAAGTGGAATGCCAACATGCTCAGCATACTTGTTCCCTTGTAGAATGTTATGTATGTGGGTTCAGAGCAGAAATAATACAGGATGCTTAGCAGCCCCATAGCTCTGTCACAGCATTGCAGACAGGAAGGGTGAAAAAACAGCTCTTGCTCTTTCTGCCTAGAGGCTGTCAGCCTCCTCGCTCAGAGCCCGAACAACATGTCAGCTGCTTTTTCCATTTCCTTTCTTGCTCGATAGAGCCCAGTTTAGGGCCAGACTATTTATGTAAAGTTTGCATTTTAAAAAGAAACTTACAAGGAAAAACTAAATTTAACATTGTAGAGCTGCTAACATGAGAAAGGAGGGTTACTCTGAGCCAACTCCATCAGACTAGTGGTATCTTTGTGGAGGCTGTCACTTTACCAACTGACCTCTTCTGCTGCATTCACTGGTGATGTTTACCTTTCACTCTCTTTCCAGAATTAAAAGCTGTAACAAGGGAGCAAAACCTATTGCTTACATTCGGATTTGCTTTCACAGCCCTAACCAGAGGCTGCCATCCTGCTAAGCAGGAGTGCAGGTATTTAGGTTTGGGACAAGGCAAACACGAGCAGGTAACAGAGCACCGGGCATTTCACTGACACAAAGATCTCAGACGACTTATGTGAGGGCAGCTCTGCCTTCATACAGCGTTGCAGCCCACACGTTATCATCCACCCTTTCTCATATTCAGAGAAATCAGTGAACGTTCTTTTGATCTCTACATCCATTTTCCAGTTGGATTTGCAGTTTCCTGTTCACAGGAGTGATATGGGATGACATATTAAAAAAAATAAAGCCACCACCAAACCAGCCTTTGCTGTACCTACCCAAGACAAGTATGGCGGCAAAAATCAATTCTGATCATCATATATTTATTCCGCTTTGTTTCTGCAGTTGTTTATAAAGGATGTGGCAACATGCATCAGTTTGGAGTCTGACTGAAATTGATGCAGTGCACAAAACTGCAACGAGGTAGGAAAGCCCAGTTTGTGAGCTAGAATAAAAGCAACACAACGTCTGTCTTAGGTGAATGGAAACATGGGCCCCACATCATATACGCCAGCTCCCCCTCAGGTGGTTCTTCAGAGAACAGTGTTTCCCTTAAATAGAAGATCTACTTGAAGATGGTAGTCTTCAATGGAGGAGCAGGCAAAACACCTTATCTCAGGTCAAGCACTGATTTCAGCTTCTGTCTCACAGCCAGCGCTCGAGTTAGCCAAGTACTGCCATCCGAACACATCCTGCCTGCATAGATCTGCCCTCTGTACGGACTGGATCCAACCACACAGCTGCCTGCCCCATGGAGCTGTGCTTCCACACCGACAGCATTCTCAACTAACGCAGGAAGCAGCCTGAAATCAGTTAAAGCCTGGGCCGTAGGTGTTGTTTTTGTGAACGCCAGCAGTTCTTGATGTCAGCAGTACAGAGAAACCACTTTAGATAAAATCAGATTGCGGATGAGTTTTAGTTTAACTAAGCTAATGTCACTGCTGTTCAGAAAGTGCCATTATGAGGCACAAAAATATGAGTCACAGCATCACACACAGGAACATGACTATTTGGCCAGAGGGTTGGGGGCTCCTTCTCCTCCTGTCTGCTGCCAGGGATGCCTGATGCTACAGAGCCAGGGGTGCACCTCCAGTCTCCTCTTCCATAGATTCCACGGCACGTTAGTAAGGTTTGAGCCAGACCAAAGCACCCAGCAGCCAAACTGCCAAGAGTAACTGCCCAAATGCCAGGTAGCTGAATGGAGCTGAGCCCCACAGGACCTTTGTGCAATGAAGCAAGGAAGAGAGCAAGCTGAGGTCTGCAGTCCCAAGTGAAAGGAAACAGGCTGAAGTGCAACAACTCCAAGCCAGTGCCATCAGTGGGATAGAAACAGGGAGGGGAGCTCAGCTGCAGCTCACGGCTCTGTCAGACAAGAACAAGACACGATGAAGTGGGGGTCGATCTCCCCATTGCCAGATGTTGGACACAACAATGTCAGCATTCAAAATACGAGCAGCTGTCAGTAATGTGGAGCTCTGCTACTAGAAACCACATTTAATCAAGGATTTGTTACTGGTGCTGTAATGAAAATATGATTTACAGACTATTAAACTGTGGCCAGGTGGCAATCTTTATTTAGTGGTTTTACTTATCATCTGAATATTGTACACATCTCTCCACAGATCTTACATATAGAAGTAACCAGTAACAGATAAAATGGCCAGCATTTACCACACCCAGTTACATCTGTGATACATAACTGAGAGTTTCCTTGACCTGTTCTGAAGGTCATCACTCCTGTTACTGCCTCTGACTCTGTGGTATAGAGAAAAAAAGCTGCAGTGTTTGCAGAAATCAAGGACAGTCATGTCTGTGAGCCTCAAAGGAACATGGCACAGCGCAGCGCTCACCACGCAGCAGAGGAAGCATCTGTAATCATGACTTTCAGGACAAAAAAGACCAAGATTTTAAAGTGACTGAAGTTCAAAAGGAGGAAAAGAAAATCCTCTACATAAATTGCAGCGTAAGAAATAATTTCTCTCCTGCAGGACACACATCCACAGTGTACTGCAGCACTCTGGGAGGGCAATCCATGAGCTGCAGCCACCACAGCATGAACAGAGCCAGAGCACAAGGCACGCTGTAAAGCAAGGAGTTCACTCAGGATGCTGAGCAGCCAGCAGCCAGCAGTTGAGATGGCGCCAATTGCCTGGAAGGGCTTTGGAAAGCTGCTCTGTGTCCAGCATAGCAGACACTAGGCAATAAATACACCTAATTATATTACATACAACTTCATTTAAACCAAGTATTTCTTTTGACACAGGAGACTGCATTCTCTGAAAGACTTTCCTTGGCTCTGCGAATTCACGTCTTGTCCCTTTCCACAGGAACACTCTCGGGTCTCCCTGAAGCCTTCCCTTATCCAGGTTGAACAACCCCAGCTCTCTCAGGATGAAAGACTGATTTACAGAGGGGCTACCTGAAGAAATGCATTTGCTGTTCAGAGGAAGTTGTTCAGTACAGAAGATTTTTCAAAATATAATGCATCCTATATTATTTCCATACTCTGAATATGGAGGAAGAGTTAGAATCATAGAATATCCCGAGTTGGAAAGGATCATTTGGTCCAACTCAAAACGGTTGAGTTGAAGACAGTTTTCTAAAAATTGCTCTGAAAATTCATAGACTCCTTACAATAAAGTCAGTCAGAAAACATTCAGGAAATGGTGTTGAACCAACCTTTCTTCTGACACACTTGTCGCAGGAAATGCATGTAATCTATATTCCAGCAGCACATTACATACTGTTTTCAGTTCCATAACTTGCTAACAATATTATAGTTATTACATGATCCTTTAGTTCTGAATGTCAAAGTGGATGGAAGCTCCTCACCACACCCCAGTTCTAGACGTTGCAGCTGCCCCAGTTCGTGGGATTTGCTCATCTGCTGCACTGGGTCCAGTAGTGACAGTGGGTTTGTCATCTTTTAGTTTGATGCATCGTAAAAAGAATCGAGTGAGTTATAAAGCGTAGACACAGCCTTAAAAAACAAAGAAAATTTTATTAAAGGCTATTTAAAATGAACCTTATATCCAAGATACAATATATAGCATAGCCAAATGAAAAGAGGGACGAGCACTGGACACATCACAGAAACGTGGAGTTATAGTTCTAGATGGAAATTACTGACATTGAATGGCAAAATCTCCCTATGTTGGGATTCAGTTCTCAGCTAACGAAGCACCAGAATCAAGGTACCCACCTTAGGATACCAAAGATATATGGGTCCAGGTGTAAATAAGGCTCTACGAATTCTGAAACGCAAAAGCATTTCCCTTAATCATTTAGCTCCAACATTTCTAAAAAAAAAAAAAATCTACCACATTGTTCTTTCTGGGTGGGTGCTTTTTGATGCAGTAAATCACCAAACTGATATGGCATTCAGATATTATTCTGGGCTATACAGAGACCAACGTATATTCATTTCCTAAGCACAGGTAGGATTTGGGAACTTCAAGTCAGTCCTTCAGCAAAACCTGAGAATTAGTGTTCTCCTTGAAACGTGCACAAAGGTCTGAGCTCCCAGACACACAGCAAATAAAATTCCGATTGTAAAACAGTAAGAAGGTGGATGCTGTAGAGTGCACTTCTCTCTGGAGGCTTTCTGTTTTTGCCTTCATAAATCTACCTGCTCTCAGCAAGCACTGCAAGTTGTAATGGCCTTTTGCACTGAAGCTGGTCCAAGAATATATGTGAACAAAATTATTGCTATTTTTCACTTCCTTTATACTTCTTTCAGACAGTATTTATATTGAGATTCTCCACTTTTTGCTGCCTTTCTTCCCAGAGTCATTGAACATAACCACCTTAACAAGTGAAACCAATACTTCCCTAGTATTCTGTGTCTTTTTCCTTAATTCAGAGTGCTGGCTTTTAAAGTACTTATTTTACATTTTTGTGCTTCAGAACTTCTTTGCATACAGTAAGATGCCATTCTTAGAACTGCAGTTTATCATTGCATGCTCTCAGTTCAGTTATACTCCCCACTGCCTTGTTTTGAAATTCTTTTCCTCACAGCAAGAGAAAGCTCTTTCATAAACCACTTACCCATCCAGCTTCTTCTCTGGTGGATTCAGTTCTTCTATAAATGTCTGCCACCTCAAGTGTCTGCTCCTCCTGATGCCCTTCTTGTGGTGCAGGAAGCTGGGCAGAACCTTAGTAGAAAAAAGTTATGGTCACCGCTTTCTTGTTGCCCACACTTTTATTCTACCAGAGAAAACTGCTGAAACAAAGTGTGCAGAGCTCATGTATGGCTCAGTGAGAGATGACAGTATGGCATTGTGCAGGCAGACGATATCGGCTACCTTCTGATTTGTCAATTCTTCTTATGTGATAGAGATCTCGATAACAGCATGTGCCACAAAAAGCAGTCTAGATAACCAATCAGCTTACCTCTAAGCAGACACCTACTACTTACCAGTTCTCACATAGATCTCAAGTTCCATTCCTGTGTCACCTCCAGTTATCAAAACAGAATCATACATTCATAGATTTGTTTGAGTTGTTTAAAGATCATCTAGTCAAGCTTCCCTGCAATGAACAGAGACACCTACAACTTGAACAGGCTGCTCAGAGCTCCTTCCAGCCTGATGTTGAATGTCTCCAAGGATGGGGCATCCACCACTTTTCTGGGCAACACAGGAACGTCTCCTCCCTTTCAGTTTGAAACCATTTCCCCTTGTTCTGTCACAGCAGATGCTGCTAAACAGTCTTTCTTTCTTACAGCCTCCCTTTAGACACTGAAAGGCCACTCCCAGGTCTCCCCAAGACTTCTCTTCTGCAGGCTGAACAGCCCCAGCTCTCTCAGCCTGTCCTTGTAGGAGGGGTGTTCCATCCCTTGGATCATCTTTGCAGTGTCTTCAGTGTCTTCTGGATGTGCTCCAACAGGTCCATGTCTCTTCTGTACTGAGGATTCCACATCTGGATGCAATACCCCAGCTGGGGTCTTGCCAGTGCAGAGTAGCGGGGCAGGATTTTGACCTGCTGACCACACTAATATTGTTGCATCACAGGATACAGCTGGCTTTCTGGGCTGAGAGAACACACTGAGCTTAGTGACTCACCTGTCCTAACTGCCCCAGAATTTATCTTTTTTTTTAACTGGGAGTTGAATTGAAGAAGTTGAATGTCATAGACATTCCACCTATATCCCTGATAGCCCACCAGCTGAGTAAGCCTCTATTGCCACCATAATATTCGTGTTATGTAGTTACTTAACAGGCTGCCTTAGGTTCTGCGCCACTGGCCTGCACCCATCACCTGCAGATGACTTATTTCTACAGTTACTTATTTCTACAGTCCTGCACCCTTCCTGTGCACTATTTTCTCTCATGATTTTTTCCACCCAAGCCAGGTATCACTAGCAGGAATAATGCAGAGTTAAATTCTAGATGCTCAACTTCTTTTGGCTGTAAGATGCTCGTCTGAGGTACAGCCAGTGCCTTCTGGACCCTCCTCTCAAATTTCTCAGCTTGAGGTGCCCATTGCAGGTAAAGAGAAAGTGAGCAGAAGTTGTACCTTGGAAGTCCTCTTGGTGATGCCTCAAGTTCATCTGTTCATACAGCTCAAAATAAGTATTTAGTTTAGAAAGTATGCATTAATGGAAATACTGTCACTCACCAGAAAATGTCGACTTCTGTTTCTTTTTGTAGCAGAAGTATAAGCTCCCCATTGCAGCTAAGAAAGGAATGATGGGAACGATGAGCCAAACTACTGACGTTTTCTTATCCAATGACTGAGCTTCTGCAATTACATTTTTAAAGTAAAGTTATGCACAACTCAAAGAAACAATTGAAGAACATTATTATAAACCAAACCAAAATGCAACTTTAGGAATGAATCAACCTATTCTCCCACTCATATGCAAGGTCATCTGTGCTGCATCATTCGTGCTGGATGCTCTCTGATGAGTATTACCATCAATCCCACTTATAGCTCATTGTTCCTACAGTAATGAAAGCTTTTCCCCCAAGTGAATCTGAACCTTTTCTACTGTACTTCTAGGCTACTGCTACTTGACCAAGAGATGGAGCAGATCACTAAACTCAATTCAGGAGAATATTTCCCCCTCCTGCTTAGAATAACACCATTTCATTCACTCTTTATTTCAAACCTCCTTTGGTGTTTTCTAAATCTTCTGTCATCTTTGTGCCTCCATTTGGACTACCAGATGGTCAGAAGCGTAAAGCAGTGCCCCAAACTGGACTGGATGAGCAGATGTTTCCATGCAATAAGCGGCTGATATAACGGGTGTATGATCATTTTAAGGTCTAGTCAGAACTGGCCACCTTGTCTTTTCTTTACAGTTCAGAGGCAGAAAAAGAGAGAAGGAGATTGGCATTTTCAGAAAGTGATGCCTGGTATCTCGAGACAGCTGTGAAACACAAGTGAAGTAAATTACTTTCTAGGTATGACACACTCTTTCTCTGGAGTTAGGTGAAGCATATCTTATCCCTGCTGCCTAATAACTTAATTGTGTTTGAATACACATTGCATTAATGCTTATCAAACTTGAATTCAGAACTGGGACCTTAATTTGTTCTTGCTAAAGTTTAGCGCGTGACAACATTAAAGTAAGATAATATAGCCTCTAGAAATCAACCTGTCATAAGTTAATGGACAAAAACTCTTTTAAATGTAGACACTCTACTTCTGTATCTTTCATAGCTATCTCCCACTTCTTTTTTAAACGTGTTCTCAATAAAAGTAAATGCATGTTACTCAACAGTGACCACGTGATTATTTCATCCATATCCCACAACACAAAAGATACATTCATAATCTCACATCCACCCTAATGGATTCCTCTAAAGAAGGAATTGGGTTTGGGCCTTTTGTGAAACACACTGCTGTTACACAGGTTTTCTGGATCCTAATTCAGTACTAATTCTTTTTAGTAAAACCCTTAAAGAAGAAAGCAAACACTTTACACTGGGATAGTTAAGGCAAGGAGCTTAAGGTAATTGTCCTAAGGAGCTGTTCAGGCCCTGCTGTGTTCATCTTGCTCATTCTGAGATCTGCAGCATTGAGGGAGGGATGTGGGAAAGGGAGGAAGTCATAAGCTAAGTGACATAAACATACTCTTGCATTCTTACCTCGCTCTTCAACGACCAGCATTGTTCCATTTCCATACACTTTTTTACAGAAAGGTATTTCAATAATTATCTCACAGTAGTAAAACCCAGTGTCATTTGCACTGGCAGCTTCAATCACTAGGACATCCTTGATTTGATGGGTGACGTTGCGTACATAGACAAGATTTGATGATACAGTTCTGGTGATGTTCTCCTTATTAACAAGATACCAGCTGATTCTGTATCTCTTAACTGACTTTTCCCAAATACAGGCTATTTCAGTGGAGTGTCCAATAGACAGGTGCATTTCCGTTGGTGTTTGGGTGACCATTACATTACTGGGATCTGCAGCTACTGGGAGAAATACATATAAAGAGAAAGAGGCAATTAGATCATTCAACATCTCTAATATCTACAATTTTAAATACTATTTTAAGTAATGCTAATACTGTAAAATCGTGATGACATTAATTTTCATGAGTAGTTACTACCCACTTCTTGAGAATAGACACATTGTGGCTAAAGTAAACTTTTACCATGTGTTGTATCACTTCATCACTGGTGCAAAACATGTGAAGTTTTTCTTTGTACTTGTCAATATACTTATTTTCCCATTTTAAATAAATAGCTTTTTTTTTTTTTTTTTTTTTTTTTTTTTTCTTTAAATAAGAGATGTTGAGTTAGAAGCACATTAAACAAATAGTTTTCATCTGCCAGATAAGGAATGACCAAAAGGAGTTATTCGGAATGATTCATCCACAATGAAAAAGACTTGTCAAAAAGAAAGAAAAACTCACTGGAAATTTTTGTCCCCATGTAGGAGTTCTTTTTCTGCCCTGCTTCTACTTAGTGACAAAAAGTACAGCATTTTTGCCTTGGGTTCCGTAATTTTGTTTGAAATTTCCTTTTAAGTTATTGCTGAAAGAGTTGTATCTATAGCACGACATTTACCTCCTTATGTTATTACGTATCCCACTCACACCACAGTTTTTTCATCAGGTTTTCATTTGGTTTTAAGCTAAGGCTAACTCAGATATCAGAGGACATCACACTTTTTACTCTTTGCTGCTTTCAATCACTTATTGCCCACCTGCTAGATTGTCTCCATGAAGTGCAGTACAGCATTGTGCAAATTATTTTCTTCCAAAATAAAATCACTGTGCAGACATCAGATCATGTTTTTATTCAGTGTCAATGATTTGGTTGCTCATCACAGAAATGCCAGTCTTATACAGATCTATCCCTAGAATGCTGATCATACGGATTTCATTTGCTGTGTGAAGAATTATCATCACTGTTCTTCTAGTGTGTAAACTGTTAAAGTGAGGAACCAATCGAAAGGAGTGTGAACTGTGTAATTTTCTTCCAATTCTTACCCTGCAACTCAGACTCTTTTTCCACCAATACATAAGGAACGTGATGACTTGGTCTTCAGCTGCTCCTAATGTGGCATCTGGTTAATTTTTGTTAGAATTGCATAAATTATGTTTTCACTTCCTTAGCTTCTTAGCCATCGTACCTAACAGCACCTCTACTTTTTCCTCACAATGCAATGCTCAACAGCACCTCCATTTCAGCGAGCCCAGCCATTTGCAGCTGCTCTGTGAATTACCCAGACCTTTGCTGGATATGTATGAGAAGAAGAGTAACAGCAGAGGCTCACAAAACCAGCCTGAAATTCTATCAGGAGCCTTATTATTACAACATTATGCTGGAAGCCAAATGCTTTGCACTCCCTATTGAGGATACTTCTAAGTAAGAACTCATCGTATTTACTGCAGTCAATTTGTACAAACAGCTCTAAGTTTGCATTAAGATGTAGACTAAAACAGAGTATCTTCCTACATTAAAAGCAGAGAACACCATAAGGGTAATAAACAGCTGAACAATAAGGGAAAGGACCGATGCAGTGAGCAAACACTTGGAAGCTGTTTGAAGAACTGATTGCTCATGTCACTTCTGCTCACTTGTTTTGTCATTTAAAATACGTTCAAAATGTATTTTAAAAGTCTAAAATTTGTTCCTCTACATGTTTTCTTACAACAATCTCTTGGTAAAACTGCCTTTCAATCCCCCACACGCTTTAATTTTGATTTCTGGATTACAATAACACACTTTTGTCTCACATACACACAAGTCTGAGGTTGACACGCTTTGGGCTGGATTTAAAATAAATCAAAATCTCACAAACTACAGGTTACTAACGATAAAAGAAGAAAAGCCATAAGCAGTACTTACCTAAGCAGCCAACACACGTTGCTAAAAGGAGTTCCAGTGAAGAGACTACCATCACGCAGTTATTACAGCACTCACATCAGGGTGTCTTTGCTGAAGATGAACTAAACAACAAATGAAAGCACATCAGAGCTGCAGCCCAACTTCCTCTTCCCTCATGAAGTGACGATGACATGAAATGCAAGTATAGCCCCGTGTTTCTCGATGCTCTTTTTGACGCTGCAGTTGTAGTTGTCTCTGCTTCAGAGCCCAGTTATGCCTTTTGAAATCACAAATCTTCTCAGAGTTTCCACCAGTTGCCTTTCCTCACAAGCAGACGGGCCTCCCTTCCGTTAAGTCATGAAGGGCTGCCTTCCAACAGTTGAAGCACTTCAAAATTTACCACTTCCACAATCTTACATTCGGGAGCATTTTGTAAAGATGAGATTTCTCACTTCCTAACGCTGTCGATAGTCTTTTCCATCCAAACTGAGTAATGCTGCCCAAGCCTAAGAGGCTATGCTCATACATAGGTTACACTGATACCAAGCACTACTCCTTCATTTCTTTATCACACATTTGCTTGAGGAAGATTATGAGCATGGGTTGTATGAAGTGAGCTATGGTATGTCATCAAGTTAATGGCTGTCTTGATGAAACTCATCTCCATTCAATTGTTAAAAAAATAATCTGAAACTCAGACGACTGCACTGATTTTTGATGCCAGCCCAGAAACACTTAGATTGCCTGTCAGAGACAGAGAAGGCAAAATACATCATCAGCCTTATTCCCTTGACCGAAGATCTTTCAAATGCAAAAGTAGCAGGCCACACAAAATCGTTCCACAAATATGCTTAGTTGTATTACATTAAAAATTGCAGAGACAGAAGGTAAAAATAAAAAAGAAATTAAAAATCTAATAGAACATGAGTAGTTAATTTAGAAGTCTTGGTATGAGCCTGTCTCATCCACAAAATATTCTAGTGCCAACATCTGGTTGGCAGCAGCACCAGGCACGTGTCCAGAACAGCTGAGCTGCAATTTGTAATGAAGACACAGCCACATTTACAGCCTAGAGCACTGTTCTCATCTGTCAGCAACAAAACACGATGCATCAGTATGTCTGTATCTCAGCATCTGCCTTATCAGGGTTGATTCTGCTGTCACTTGCATTGCCAGGTCAAACACAAAATATACCCCAATACAAGAGCAAAGATAAGTAAGTTCCTAAAACCGCAAATTCTAGGACTGCTGTAGAGTGTCCTTATCTCTGATGGTACCCAGCTGGCTAGAGCTACTGAGAGCATAACAAATATCTTTGAACTGAAGTGAAGGAAGAGATAAATACTTAGAAATATTCTATTAGCTATACTAGTACTGAAACTTTGTTAATTCTGGTGCAGAATAAATGAAATATGTATGCACAGATCCAATGGAGAAATTAGCTTCTTTTGCATGTAAATATGTGTATTCGTGCACTTCGTGTTCAGGTGTGCAGCTGGCAGCTCCATATGTAGAGGCTGGGCGAAACTTTTCCAATAGTGCTGACAGCAGCTCACATTCACTCTGAAAGATGCTCTGGTTCTGATCCAAAGCATCCACTATCAGAGACGAAATGAATTGGCATAGAAAGAGGGATAGAAAAAAGGTTTATTTTTAGCCTGCATTACTTCATTGTAGCAGTTCACAGCATGACCCCACAAATGCAAGGTATTCATAGTCAGTGGTATTACTGAGTGGGTGGAAAAAATACGAGTGTTTCTCAAGGCAACCTGCATCACACAAAACAACTATGTGGGTCAGAATGCATCCGCAACAGAGAGATTCTTCTTAGTTTTCTCACTTTGTCTACAAATAACATCACCACATTTGGACTCTGCAAGACTCATGAGTCTTCCTTGCCTCCAGCAAACACCAGGTGCAAAGCATGCTGCCACTTGGGCTCTCACCTGGCTCCATGTAACAGACCTGGTAACATCTCACTACCGCCAGTGGAGCTTTACTTGCTTTCCGTGATACATCCACACTACTAATTTTGTCCAGCTTTCACCCAAGCAAAAAGCTGAAAACTTGGTTTAATATTATCTCCAGGACTTTTCTCAAAACCTTTGTTAGCATGGAAATAAACCCCATCTAATTTGTTTTCCAGTAATGAATGACAACTTACATCTGAGCAGAAAAACAGCTCCGCAGCACAACAATCGGCCAGCTGTGCCTACCACAATTCATTTTCAAATAAATATGAGTGCAAGTCATACTTTTACCTGCTCTAGTGATTAAAGTAGTGATCTGCAATATTTCCTCTTAAAAAAAAAAAAAAAAAATACAACAGAACACCATGTAATTATTGCACAATGAAAATAAATCAACCACGGTAGTGGTATCAATGCATTCACCAAAAGCACCTTCTCAAACTAGGTGAATGCTGGCATGAAAAAGGAACTACTTTGGGCAATATTTGCTTTGCTCACTCAGTATACAGCTCAATTTTATAATCTACCAGCATGCCTTATTGTTTTTAACACGTGTATCAGACAACACAACCAGTTCATCCACAAAAACACAGGGTGAAATCATACCACTGTGCAACCTACACAGCGCCCATGCCCATGATGATACATGGTACCTCCAAGCAGAGACTGAAAAAAGATTACCAAAGTGACTCAGTTGAACACATTTTGTTTTCTGAATACACACAAAATAAAATGAAAATAGCTGCCATCACTTTACTGCAGCCTGGTTACAGTGCTATATGCTTTCCCTATGGGATTAACGCTGCAGGAAAACAGCTTCCACTGCAGCAGGGCAGGTCAGATTGGTGTATGCCAAGTGTTTATGGCCAAGTGTGAAAAATAACAAATATGTAACAACAGCAGTCCACCTACTGAAAAGCAGCACTTTCTGGTGATTTTAAGGTGACACAGTCAGTTTGTACAGGCTGTCTTCACAAAGAAGCCGACACCAGTGCAGCTCTTTCAGCACAGCTGTTTTGCAACAGTCCTTTCCACTGTTTCCTTTGTTCTGGAACAGCATCTCTGCATGGGGGAGAAATTATTGGTGAAATAATCGGAACTACATCAAAACAACTATCACAGCAACATGTATTTTTTTAGATGAATCTAGATCTGAAATTATAGATTTAAAACCCGCCTCTATTTCCCTTTAAATCCCATGTGTTTCAAGTTCTGCTGACCAGAAATACAGTTCTGTACACAGCACAACTCAGCATTACCACTGCAGTAAGTGATCAACTTGATTCTCATCTCAGCCACGTGCATTTTCACAGTGAATACGTAAATCAAGGGCATGTGAACAGAATGAGATTCTAGAGCTTCAGCTAAGAAAAAATTGAAAAATGCAACGTTGCTTTTGAACACAAAAACATACCAGCTATTAGGAAAGCTGGTCGCTGCCTGTTTCCTTTAGCTGCTGCGCAATCAGATCTGCTTAGAACTTGCACTTACTGTCAGTTTCTTTCTAAACACTGTCCTTTGTATCTAACTAGAACAGAACAGAAGACTAATGGGATAGTGTGAGGCAAATCTATTCAACTCCAAATCTTAAGAGAGATAGTTTTAATGAACTTGCTGCACAGGAATACCAACACCGCATTCAACTTGAGTTCACAGTAAAGCAGAAAATTTGTGGTTGTTGCCTGAAAGACAAAGTAGCTTAAAGACATGATTGGCATATAGAAACAGAATGGATTTGGGCAAATTATTATTCTGTGACTGAGAAGCCATCACTAACAATAAAAACCCTGTGAAAGGACTCTTGAAACTATCACAGTAAGAAAGACAATTCAAGACTAGAGGACTAATGCGCCTTTGTCAGCATTCCCAAATGAAACATCACAGAAGCAATCACTTTAAAGCCATCCACAGCAAACATGAAATTGTTCAAACCACTTGTACTGCCACACTAAGGCCATTTTTGTATTTTCAAATTGAACAAATTTCAGTTAAAAAAAAAAAATAAATCGTAAGTAATTAAGTACTAAAAATATACACAGGTCAACAGTTTAATTAAATTTAGAGTTCACTCCAAAATGACATTCTTTTCATTGACAGAAGCAGAATACCTTTCAAGACCATCATTTATGTTTACAAACAAAAATGGAAAGCAATTACATATTCAGTCCTGAAACAAAGTCAGACTTTATTGATCTTGAAAATACACAAAGAAAGTCCTTATTTCCTTTGGGTGAACAGTTACAGTAAAGTCGTCTGAGATCTTTGTACTATTGGAGAATCCTGTAAGACACAGAAACATTGGTAACTTACTCAAGAAGGAGCTTTATTTAAATTTAAATTATTCTATATCAGCAGATGCAATTTGTTTATTCCTTAAAAGCTAGTGTTTGAACAGGTTCTCTTCTTTTAAAGCTATAGGTTACATGGAACTTACAGTGCACTCTCATTCTTAATATTAAGATACACAACAATCCATCTACTTTTCATACACTGACTCACACCAGAAAATGTGGGTGACTTTCCAGTCATGCATTTTAGATCATCATGAGTAAAAAAACAAGCCAGTTCCTAGCTGCAGGTCAAGCAGAGCTTGAAACTCACAGCTTGCCCAGGCCAAGCATTTTACCTGGCACATAATATGCTTGTGAGAGCAAGGACTATGTCCAAGCAACTAACTGGAATGGGAAATGAAATGAGGTCACCTACAGCACTTGAATGAGTCCTAACTGGAATCCTATCCACACAGACCTTTAAGCTGATTACAGTGGGAGATTTTTAACTCCAGCTGTCTGTTTTTCTAGAGCACAATGTTAAGCTCAGATTGACACAACTCATCAGCATATAACAAAATTCATGAAGCGTGACTTCATAGAGTAGCCACTTCAATCTGGCCAAAGATAGAAACCTGAAATCTTTTTTGAGTTTAACACTTCTGGGTGAAATGAGCCACAAGAGAAATACTGAGGTCTAGTTCTTGCTGAGAACCTTTGCTAATTCCTACTGCTTGCAGACTATGCTAGATAATAGGTATGTGACGTAGACGAACAAAATATTTTTCATCTTGCAAATACAGCAATATTTTTAATCAGAGAACTCATACAGCTTCAACAGTCAACAGGAATAAAGACACCAACTGTCTTGTTCCACCTACCTTTGCTTGGGTTTTGTGCAGTCTTCCACTTCCACCGCTTCAAAGTGTTTACATCCCAGGTGCCTGTGAGTGATCGCTCTTCCACTAACTTCACTGCCCCCAGTTCTTTCAGCAAACACTGTGAGTAAAGAATCACAGTTTATTGAGACTAGCTTAACAACGACTGATCTAATACATAGACCAGAGTAGAACTTTATCTAAAGCACTGACCCGGTAAGTAGAGCAGTAGACTTAAATCTGCCATAGGACTCTCCAAGTCACAACACAAGGACAACTATAGGCTCACCTGAACGAAGAAGCAGAGGTGCCAAGAACTTCCTCTGTACTGTAGCAGAGTTCTAAGCAACTGATCTTGCAATTCAAGAACTGAAACTCTTACTAACTTTCAAGAAAAAAACAGAAAGCCCTACACCTTGTTCAACCTTGCTATTGTCATGTCTGCATACTGTATCTAAGACAACTTTATCTGAAGTAATAGCTTTTGTGGTGCAAGTCCGAATATAAATAAGACCTGCACTCCTCTGAGGCTAAAGTTACAGCAGCATTTTCATACCTTTTATGGAGTCTATCACATGGGACATATCATTCCAGAACCAGTTCTCCTTGGAACAAAAATACCTTAAGTGGTGTTCCACAAGGATTAGATTTACCTTCAAATTCACCATCACAGGCTGAGACAGCACAGGATCCTCCCCAACTTCATACAGGTGTCTAATTCTTAGCAGGACACGACTGAAGTCTGCATCACCTTGCTTCTGTTTACCTTCAAGAAAAAACAACATGAAATGGTTTCTGACATAAAATAAAACCAATTTTTTTTGTTGTTGTTCAGTTTTTATTTTAATTTTTTGTGCTTCACAATTACATTATTTGAACTTATGTTCCATTTTTGAAGATTAGCCAGAGTGCTAAGAGCAAGAAGTACCCTGTTCCCACTGTTAACAGGACATGACACTAACTCATATAGGAGATGTTTTACCATTTGAGTAGAGCAATCGTTAACTGTCAAGTAATCAAGACAATTATATGTCTTGATGGAGGGATTTAACACTTAAATGCTATTTAGAGAATACAGAAAAATAGAAAGACAGATTTTTGGAGCATAACTTTCAGACACCCTTATGAAAGCACTTACCCATGTGAATGGTGCGGAGCTGCTTTGCATGATTAGAGCTGTATCTCCACCCTGGAATGCTCAGAGTCTGGAGATGAAGATTAGGTGGGACAGTTACAGAAAAACTGTGGGCTGATCTCTGCTGCCCGGGTAGCTCTGGTTTACCTCCTCCATGCAAAAGGAAACAAAGTAGACATCAAACATCCATCATGCGTACATAAGCCTGGCTACAGTACCATAAAAAGATTTTCTCGTTTCCTGACAAAGAAGATCTAAAGCAGATGCTGTGTTTTCTCCTCTGATGTCTTCTGAGATACAACACCGAAGGAATTTATGAGCTGGAGAAGTGCATTAAAGCTTCCAATAAAGCAGATCTCACTGCAGTCTGATACTACTATTCCACTACCAGGCTTCATTTTTAGTTAATAAGTCAAATATTTTTAAAAGAATGACTCAAAAAAGGTCACTAAAGACTCGCATCCAGGAAGCTGATTGCAAAGTACACTAGCTACTTTGCAATAATTCCCTGTGTGGACATTTTGTTCTCATTACATGCTCTACAATTTTTTCTCCTCTAAAAGCAGAGATAATTACGTAACAAGAGAAACATTCTTGGAAACACTTGGAAAGCATCCATATCTGAAATTAATGCAAAATAATTAACAGTCTCTAAATCTGCCTTCAAACTCACAGTATACTAACTTCACCAAACAGGAGGCTTAAAGTCTGCATTTACAAACTTAACAGTGTAAGTCAAAGCAAAATAGATAAACTATTCAGATACCAAAGATAGCACAGGAGAGAACGAGTTACCTGAAAATGTTCCAAACATTACAACTGGCCTGTGTTGTAATGCTAAGCCACTTGTCTGATACAAAACATTGGTGGCAGACTTAGTCCCTAAAATAAGCCAAAACACAGGACGAACCACTGAAGAGTCATTCAAAGTAAGATTGTTATTTAGGTCCCACTTAAGATTGTTCCATAGTCTCCTGTGAAGCATCACCTGTGTTGAGAATGAGTCACAACAGTTATCAGTCACAAAGCTATCCTCTCCTAATAAAAAAAACCCACACAACTGCATTTGTTACCTCCACTTGCCCATTCCCTTGACTTGAGACACCATGAGCTCTTTCTGCAAGCAGCACTAGCCTCGTGGTATCATCTTCAATGTAGGCAGTCTGGACCATAGGATAATAGTTCTGAAAACACATAGTAATTCATGCTATATTAATTTTAATCTAGATAAAAGTGATGAAAAATGAAGATAAAACAACATTTAGTTTGGATTATGCCTTGGCACCTACCCGTGCTACCGTATTATTCACATATGTCTTGAATGGTCTCTTCTGAATCTGAAATCCATTGTCATCAGTGTAGAGCAGCTGCCCAGTGCTCAAATTTGTGCTTGTTCTTAGAACTGCCTCATGATTTACTTCCAAAGGTCCAACACTGTATTCTTGCTCTATCCTATGACAGAGCAACTTCCCATCATAGCCTTCGGGTACTGAAAACATCCTTGTAAATACTGCATGTGTGTAATACTGAGCAGTAACATTGCTATAAAAATAAGAAGGGTTATTAATTATATACAATTACATTATAAAGCAGACTATTGAGGTAACTCTGAACAATCCTTGCCTCCCTCCCCCAGTGATACGACTTATCTAAAAGGTAGCATTATGCTTAGCAGATTCATGTCAGTTCTCGTCTGGAACCTCCAGAGTACAAGAACTCCACTGTGTGGAGGAGGAGCTGCACAGAACAACTCACATACATCAACAGACAACTACACATTCAAGTGAAGTGAAGCTGTAATGGAGCTGCACCTGAAGAAGTATTGCCGTATCTCTGTCACTAAGTTTCCAGAGACCACTTCCAATCCAACCGCTTGCGATACTGGAACAGCAGAAGCATTAGGGGCAAATAAGTAGTTGTCTGAAATGGGTCCTTTTGTAACATCTCCGTTCACATGGTACTCAAGGAACTCCTGGGTCACCTGGACAGTCTGGTTAGTCTCCCTGTGAACCACAGAGGGAAAAAACAACCCTGTTATTACCCTACAAATACGTTTTTTATGTATTTTATACTTCCGTAAAAAAGGAACATCTTAAAACAGGAACAGCACTTACTTAGGTCATGTTTTGAAGCGCAAGTGAGAGCTGCTACAGGATCTAAAACTAGCTGCTGCACAAAAATGAGGAATGCCTCGATTTAGTAATGAATAATTAAATTAATTCATCTGATGTTGTAGCTAAGAAAACCGCTGTGGCAAAGGTTTCCACATTTAACAATGGTAACAAGGTATAGTGCCAACAGGGTAACAAAATTCACACTTGCTCAGCATACTTTGTTTCCTCCTTATGGCTAAGATACTTAGGAACCCATTTCACAGTCCCTGCAAAGTCAAGTGAAGATAATTTAAGATGCTATCCTAATCCTGATCAGGCAAAAAGCATAGCTCCACTGAAACCTCGAGGAATTGGGCCAATTCACATCAGCCAAGAAAGCCAAGCTGCAAACCTCACATTGATCTTGATTGTTCTTTCATTTCATTTGCTTAACCAAATTTGCCTAATTCATCTGCCTAAATGTTTACTTCCAAAATATTTTGTAGTCTCCTAGAAAGAATGACTTCCAAATACTACTAACTAGTAAGCCCTTAATTTA